ACACACACACACACACACACACACACACACACACACACACACACACAAATGGTGAGATGGGACCAGACTCCAAAGCTACAGAATGAGAATTTCTTACCCTTTACCAGCTGCCTCCTTTGTGCTCACTGTTCATGAACTCTTTTCTGTGTACTGTGCTGTGTGTAGCAATTAGTGGGAAAATAGGGTTCCTGATCTCCCATAACATTTTGTTTTTGAGGGGGAAAGACTTTTATCCACAAGAGCCACTTGCAGGGGAACTGAGAAACTTACTATTAAATAGTTCTTGATATAAGTTTATATAAGTATGTGTATTATAGGGGATAAATATAAAAATACGTGGGTGCATACTGGAGTTCATGAACAGGGTAATAAACGAAATAGGGTGAAAACAGCACAGAGAAGGCAATGAGCACATTGAGGGGCTGGAGTGATCTGATTAGAAGCGACAGATATTCAGCTCCTTTAGGAAGGCTTAAGGAGAGAGTTTAAGGTAGGACATTAAGAAATGGAGAATCAGTGGAGGATTTCAGTAGACAAATGACTTCATGAAATTGGAATTTTAGGATGATTAATCTGACAATGGAAAATAGGATGAATTGGAGAATGGAAGGCAAGGAATTAACATTAAGAGGAACGTATTGTAATCCCAGCATAGGATAATGAAGTACCACAGCACCACAGTGGGTGACTATGAATTTGATGACCTATGAGAAACAGTGGGGAGGTAGGTTTCAATGGGTGACTCTAAGATGATAGCTTACATGCTGGTTCTAGTGGTGGAAGACACTGTATTATTCACTTCACTAATGGGGGTGTAAAATGTCAAAGCCATCATTTCATACATGAATCAGAGCTCCACCACCTTAATGAGTTGAAGGAGGTTTTGGAATATCACTTTGTACCTTTAAAAAGAATCATTATACTTTGCAGTAGTTTTTAAATGTTGACTCATTATTTGTAATTAAGAATATATACTTGTAAAATGTATGAACATTTGGATTATATATGCAATACTTTCAGACAACGGCTGTTAATATTTTGGTATTCTAGTCTCTTTTGTGGGGGGGTGTGTGTCCGTGTGTGTGTGTGTGTGTGTGTGTGTGTGTGTGTGTGAGAGAGAGAGAGAGAGAGAGAGAGAGCAAGAGCGAGAGAGACTACCAGGGTCATATAGTTTTGTATTCTGTTTCTTTCTACTTACAACTATATTACGAGCATTTTTTCATGCCATTAAATATTTTTAAAAACATAAAGACATATAAGATTTATATAAAAGAGAGCTATATGAGATGTTTATAAAAGAAAATAAAAATATGTAGTATCTCTGTATATAGGTATGTGAGAATTTATTTAACAGTGCTCTATTTTCAACTTTTAGATGATTGCAATCTTGCCACCTTTTTCTATAATCATTATCCTTGCACATGACTCTTTAATCACACTTTATTTATTTAGGTTGGTTTCTAAATATGTATCACTATGACTTTTAGTTAATATTTTCAGATTGTTTTCACCAATTTACATTACTTTATCTAATTATATAGGTGAGTCTCTGTTTCACATGCCTTTGCTGGCTGGAAATAATATTAAAGACAAAGTAAAAAAAAAATTTATGTAATATGGTGAGGAAAAAACCCTCACATTTTTGCTTC